ATTGCAATGGTCTTACGTCTGCCCTTATGTTAGTACTACACATTTCCTTTGGTTTTCCACTTCCTGTAGCTTGAATTACAATTCTTTAGTAGTGAATAAAATTCATTTACAATTTGACCCCAAAATAACATTGTTTGTTGTCATTTCCCCCATCCAATTCCCAAACTCAAGCCATACTGTAATTTTAGCAGTTACTTGAAGAAAACACACATACATACATGTTGAATAGGCTCTTTCCTCTACTTCGTTTGTTCAGTCAGCCTGGTATATTAATAGTAGGCTTTCAAGATTAGACTCAAACTGTATCTCTGGTGTAATTTCTAAAGACAGAGTCAGTCACTTCCATCTCTATATTGTAATGGCAACGTCTACATAATTTCTGTTAAAGTACTGATAATGTTGTACTTTATATTATTTATTTAAGAGATTGATCTTCCCATAGAATAAGAATTCCTATAGGACTAGAGTACCTCTTATTTTTACATCCCAGCATCTAATACAGTGCTGCTATATGGGAGACACTGGTGGAATAATTTTTTAATGAATTTCCACATCCAAATCATACTCAGTCTTCAAAGCTGAGTTCAAACTGTGTTTGCAAACTGGCTTGTAAGATTCCTCAGTTGGATGTTACGTTTCCCTCTTCCTGACATTCTGTGTTGTATTAAAATTAATTGTACCTATGCCATCTCTACCTAGCTGAAGGAAGATGGACATCAGATTCATTTTTTACTCTAATGTAACACTTAATACTATGCCCTGTAGTGCTTAGTTTTTATCATAGTCTTCAAATTATTAGTTATTGTTATTTTCAGATGACTCTATGTCACAATGAGAATCAAACAAGTAACTGTCTTCAAGTTCATGTTATGACAAGGTATCTGCCCTTATATCTCTAATTCTTTTCCAACTGCCTTATTTTAGTCCAAACTGTTTAGACATAGACCTAAACATGGCTGGTTCCATGTCCTTTTTAGATGGTTTCATAACAGCTACTTTCTTTGCCATAGTTAAGATATTTCCCTATTATGTCAGACTTCATTGCTATGCTCTTGGTGGTTGAATTTGTCAAAAGTTCACTCTTTAGATAGAAAAAGATAAGGATGGTAATAATCTGAAGCAAGACAAATTACAAAAGGGGCTAAGTAATCATAAAAATTTAACTAACGAGCACAGTTTTTTCAAGGCGTATCTATTAAACCAAACAGTATTTAAAGTTCAATCCTAAAACTCTTAAATTAGTATCTAGAGGTCAAAACTCCTTTATAGTTTACTAGATCTTCACAGCAAAGTCATTTTTAGTAATAAAAATGATAATGTGCTATAGAGAGAAATCAGGACATCACTAAATTACTGGAAAGGTGGTATCTCTACTTATTTCCAGTAAAAGGGGGAGATAAGAATTTGATTAATTTTTTTTCCAAAAGGAAATTAAGGAATAAAGTTAATAGATAAAATTTAGTTGAAAATCAACAGCTTGGGGAAAAATTTGGCAACTTACATCCTTAAAATATGCACCTCACTTCACTGGTCTACTTCAAACCCTTTTAGGATAAAGATTTAAAATGTATAAAACCAAAAGTCTCCATTACCTAATGCATAAGTTAACTCAAACTTTGTTGCTCTGGCCAGGCGGCTCCGTTGCTTACAGCATCATCCCCTACACCAAAAAGTTGCAGATTTGATCCTCAGTCAGGGCACACACACCTAGGTTGTGGGTTTCAGACCCTGCCCAGTGGCAAGTATGGGTGGGAGGCAACTTACTGATGTTTACCTCGCTCATTTATATTTCTTTCTCTCTGAAATCAATAAACATCCTCAGATGAGGATTAAACATTTTTTTTTGTTGCCTGTAAGTACCTCAGGAACTGATGGGATTGAGAGGACGCAGGAAAAGGGGGATAGGGCAAGCAGTCCCCCTTTATTGACCTTACACATTGAACTTCTGAATATGATTTTGTTTGAAGTGTTACACTGCTAAACACACAAATCTAAAATCACTGATTTAAATTGGAAGGGTTCATTGGATATGTATCATATATGAGAAAGCTGCTTTTTGTAACTGGTTAATTGCTAGAGGAACAGAATGATGCAGCAGCATGTTAGTCTGAGAATTAGGCTAATCTTACCCTGGGCCAGACATTTACCTTCTCCTGACGTTTAAGTACCTACCTTTTAAAATGAAAGGGTCTTTACTCAATGTCTAAGGTTCTTAACAAATTAAGACACTCTTGAGATGTGTTATTGTCAATACAGACCATAAAACGTGACTTTTAGGAATAGTCACATGGTTATGATGATTATGTGCACTACTATGACAAAATGTGTTACAATGTTTTAAGAAAATGAAGTAGAATAGCAAACAAGTAGAACAGCTATTCAAAGACAGGTAAATAAAATATCGCAACAATAAACAATTCTAAGAAACTTTTTACTTGTTCTGCTAATTTCTATTCCAGAAGTAACAGGATCTGTTCAAGATGTTAACCTTAAACTCAAAGTATAGCAGAAACCTTTTTAACAGGAAGAATTAGGGAATGAATAAAATCTTAGCCTTACTTGCTAAAATTTACCTAATACTAATCTTAATCCTAAGAAACCCTTAGAATTTTACCCAAATTTTCTGATTTCCTAATCGCTTACTCAATGTATAATAAAGTAAGGAGGCTTTCCAAATTCTCTTCCCTTAATGTCATTCATGCTGTTGAAAATCTTATCACTCAAGCGCAATTTTAATTCTTAGGTTTTACTTGTTCTGTTAGTAACATTCTTCATGTTATGCTAATCCAGACAAATTTATGTAGCTCCCCAACAATCATAAGCAAGGAGTTCCTGCTATCTGGAAGACATCCCAACATTACAATGAGAAGGCAATTAGTTTCCCCAGCACAAGGGAGTCTCACTTCTCACACTTTGTAACTTTACACTAAACTAATAATCACAGAATCCCTCAAGTTTTGTCATGTTATAAAAGGTTAAAACAGATGGTTTCCCCGTAATGATATACTGCTGATAAAAATCTTGAGCTTAGTGCTTACAAGGCTATAAGTTTTCTAAAATGAAAAATTTAAATGATTACCTATTAGAAAGTACTAGTTACAGATTTACCTTTTTTTTTTGTCAGTGTATGACTTTGACTTACCCCTCCCAGATCCTTAATGTCCTTTTGCAGTTTTTCAGATATGGTGACAGAAGGTAAGTCAATGTAAAATACCTTTCCCCAAAGTGGCTTATATTTGGCCTTTTCTGGTTTATTATCGGTTTTCAGAGATTTCAAAGATGGTCTGTTTTTTTCATTTTTGAGTTGGATTCCACCTATTATTTAAAAATGTAGAATTAGATGTTTGTGCAGACAGAAAATTCCTACTGTTTTAAAAATAGTTCTTTATACAATAATCACATTACAGAGTGGAAAATTTTTATCCCAACAATATGTCATATTTCTTTGTAGTACCACTTAGGATAATGGCAAAATACCTTATATATTTTAGCAGACACTATATTGTAACTAATTATTGTTTCAGCCAATAGCTGAGTCTAAAGGAAATAGTCATGTGCTTATGTTTTATGTATTAAGGTGGGGAACAATATAAAACCTTATTGAAAGATTTTACTCCTTAGAATGTAAACTATTTACTGAACAAACATTTCTGGAGCACGGCCATTCGGCTGAACACTAAAAACTGGTGCTTAAAACGTTAAAACGCTTAGCAACGCAAGAAACTTGCGTTACCCAGAAGGATCTGGTCCGCAAAGATTCCTCACTGCTCAAGGTTCAGTTTCACACAGGGGTCGTCTATCTGTTAAGAACTGAATGGGCCATTTGAGGAATCAAGTCACCATTCATTTTATTTCCTTTAAAAGGAGATCTAAGATCCAAACTGCTTTAAAAATTAACTTTTCCGACACAATCTGTCCACAAATTGGAAGTTACTCTCTATACGTATCATATACTCACACATAATTACAGATTAAAAAGGACTGAAAATGTAAATTTGCTTTTGTTTGTTTTTGTGAAAACATCAACGGCGTGTTTGACATATAAACATTTTCAACTTTGTGAGTGAAGAACATAAAACAATAAGACCAAAAGTCCCCCGACAACCACCCAATTTAACCATGAAGCAAAAAGCCACGGGCACATCTGCTCTTTGAGGACCGAGTCGCGTACTCTGTGGGAGCCCCGGCGAGTTCCCGGGTCCTCACATTGTTCTCAGGTTTTACAACCAACGGCACCACCTGGAACTTGGCGGCCGCGCCCGGAGCGTGGAGAGCGCGAAGGCCGGGCGAGATCCCTTCCCTTTTTGAGGCAAAACCCTGAACCAAGCGAGCCTTCCCTTCAGGCCACAGCGAAGGACGCACAAGCCAGAAAAGAAGCAGGGACCCCAAGGGGAGCTCTCTCAAGGATCAATGGTGGAACCTGGGCGGTAGGAAAAGATTAAAGGGACTGCAGGCGGAGGAGGGGCGTCCTACCCTGGAAGTGTCCTTTGCTGTGGATCCTCATGGCTCCGGAGTTCATGGCAGCCGCCGGACAACTACATGCCGGCTCTGGAAGGGTGTCGTGTCGGGTGGCCGAGAAAACACGGCTCCCTGAGGCCAGTTGACCCGCCAGTCGCCTTTCCCCTTCCGCAGACTACCACACCCGCGCAGTACAGACACCGCCTCTGCTCGTCGGGTTTCCGGGGCCGGGGCCGGGGCCGGGGCCGGGTTCAAGGCACAGGGGAGGAAGAAGGAAAGCACGAACGAGTGGGCTACGGCGGTTGAAGATTTGAAAACGCGTCACGCGGCCGCGGCGCCGATACGCGCGCCCCGCCCCCTCTCACGCCGCACCCCGCCTCGCGCTCGCCCCCACGTGCCTGCTCGTTGCACTGCACGCCGCGCCCCCGTGCCCCGCCTTCTCAAGCCGCGCGCCCCGCCCCAAGAGCCCTTGTCTCCGCCCCCGCCCCGCCCCCGCCCCCGCCCCTCCTAGCCGCGCTGCCGTCTACCTCTAGTTCCCGCTCTTCCACTCGTTATTCGGCGTCCCTGTGCTCCCCTGCAGAGTCTTAGCGCCTCGCTGTTGATCAGAGGTCGCGGATGCAGTTTGCGCCGGAGGCCAGCTGAGACCTCTACCAGTATCATTCCTGCCTTCTTGGTTTGCAGGGATCGCTTCTTTGTCCAGCTGCCTTCTCCACCAGGTACGCTATTTCTGACGGGTCGGCTGCCCAGTAGTCTGGAGGCTTAGCGGCTGCGCTGAGCCCGGACTCGGTTTCAGGCCGGACCAGGAGGCGGAGACAACCCCTGTTCAGCGCTCCTAGAGTCTCAGCGTGGTTTTCCCGCGGTCACCGGGGACCCTGCTGGCCGAAGACAGGCCGCAGAGGGTCCTGCTGAGGTCAGAGAGGCGGCGGACTAGGGGTGAAGGGGTGCGTAGGAGGGATGTCGGGCCTGGAGGCCCCCGCCTAGACCGCACCTTTTGCACTTGCTGTGTGTGCTTCTCTGTTGACCTCCGTTTAACACAGACCTGTTTTACTGTGTAGAAGTTTATTCAACAATAATAAAAAGGGGAATTTGATTCTCAAGTCGAGGGTTTTGGGTCTGGACCGACCACTTATCAGCCTGTAAGACTTTCGTTAAATTACCTAATCACTTTGAGCCTTAGTTTTTTCATTTATAAAGTGGGGATGATAAGGGGATTATAGTACAGATAAGTTAATATGGTTTGTAAAGTGTGTTAATTTTGTTTTGTAAATGGGAAAACACTTCACGAAAAATTGGTTTGGGTATGTTTCTGCTTGTAAACTAAAGAACAGGATTTAATCTTGTATTACTTTGCATTTCTTAACTCCTGGCCCTATTGGGTACTCTTGTTTAATGGTTGGGTTTTTACCTAGTAGTTCAGGGAAGAAAATGCCAATAACACCGTTTCAAAAATATGTACCTGAAAGCGTAGACAAGGGTGGATTGTGATACCTTTAGCCAAATTGGAGAACACGAAGAGATGGTTCAGGTTGGATTAGGAAAATAAGAGTTTTGTTGTGGAGGCTTTAAGTTGAAAGGCCTGGGGAGACAATCACGGAACTCTTTATTAGACAGTTGGTAATATTTGTCCTCAACTCAGGAGAGATGGAGGGGGCAGGAAACAAAGAGAAGGAAGATTGATTGACTCGAGAAATAGCACACAGACCAATCACCGATTCTCAGTCGTGGGGTGATGTAGAGGTTATCTGATCCTGAGAGGCAGGAGGAGGTGTGTAGTTTGAACAAACATACTCTACGTGAGAATTTCTAGTTGGGAAGAACAATCTACTATCAAAATGTAAACTACAGAAAAAGCACAAGATTTTTATATTTATAAAAATGTTAAAAGGTTGAGAAACACAAATATGGAGTGTTGCTGCAGTCCTGGGAGGAAATGAAATTGCCTGGGAGAGCATGTGAAGTAAGGGAAGTGGTGAGGAAGTAGTGAGACAGATGGAGAAGAGGCCACAGAGTTGGGAGGTGAACTGGGAACAAAACTTACTATCAAAAGTCACAGAATTGCAAACACTGGGGTCATGCAGGCTTCATTAACTATATGGCTTTGGGTAATTTTGAGCCTCAGTTTTAATCTTTGAAAAGGGGTAATCAATACTTCTCAGATATTGTGAGGATTACATGAAACATTTTTGAAAGCTTTATGAGTACAGTGCCTAGCACAGAGGGAGAGCTCAGTGAGTGCTATAGTTGTGGTAAACCCTGCACTAGCCTCTCTATCCTCAAGAATTCAAAAAGGCTTAGACTTGAAATATAGGCTTTGATTCGGGTGTTTAAGATACCATTGTTTCCTTAGTGAGAATTTCAGTAAATGGCTAAGGTGAGTACTGTGCTAGGTAACAGTAGGCTTGAAGTGGAAACAGATTGGGTATACTCTTGCAAAAAATATCAGTTTAGGGAATTATGGTGATAGGGAAAGAAAACTGGGTCTTTGAAAAGTTTAGGGACTATGGGAAGGATTTAAACATGTTTGTATTGAAGAAAATAAAAAACTGGAAGCCCATTTTGTGTTCCAGTGAAAGACGAACTACCTTCCTTATTTCCTGTAATGAGGAAGGACAGTAATATAGTTGGAACCAATGCTTTTAGACACACACCTGCCTGCATTGTAGGTGATAATGCCAAGCTATGAAAGCAGAAAGTCTGTTTTACTGGATAGTGTTAATATCTATCTAAGTAAAATATAACCCAGTGTTAATATTTAAAAATGTTATTATTGGAACTCAACCCTTTTAGTAGCTACCGGAAGAAGAACTTGGTCCTATATTTATGGTCTGTAAGTATAGAAACCTCCTTATGTATTATGTCAGCAATCAGGGCTATAGGTAAGAGAATAAGGTTTACATTAAAGTATATGTTGAGGTGTGCTTCAGGTAAAAAGACTACATTCAAGAAGAATATTTGTGGTGAGAGGTTAATATTGGTTAATGCGTTTTATTAAGCAAAGTAGGAAAACACCAAGTGGAAGGATCTAATTAAATGAACATTTAGCTGTGAATCAGGAGAAATGAATTCATTCAGTATTGGCTCTATTTCTAAATAGTTTAATGACCTTGGGCAAGTGTTAACCTTTCCATGCTACGGTTGTCTCATTTGTAAATGATGACAGTATCTGCTTAGTCTACCCAACAGCTTTTTGTGATTATCAAATATGGACTGGCCTTTTTCAGACTACCTCAGACAAAAGCAAATTTTTTACTCCAGAGTGTAGACAAATGAATGTATTCATTCTTCTGTAATATTATCATTTTTTTTCTTTTGCTTAAGTCTCTCCACCTGGCTGGCAGTTGTTCGTCTTTCATATTCATAGCACGCCTAGCTTAGATGCAGCCTTTATCTTCTGCTCATTTGGGGCTTTCAATGATTCCTGTTTGATTAATTTGCCAACTATTGATGTACTATCTTCTGAAATGTATTCTGTTGCTATTTTTATTATTTAATTGTCACTGCCTTGGTAAATTGGAGGGCCTAAGGTTTTTCAGAGGTTAAGATCTTAGTTTTGCATGCTAAGCATATGAAAGGATAGATAGAGGCTGTGGCACTGAAGTCTGTGTCTCTTGTGAGCATGGCTGGGAAACCAGGGAAAATTCAGCCTGTTAAGTCCTTGAACACCACCATGAAGGGTCCAAAGAAGAATAAGGAAAACAGGAGGATTCAAAATTTGAGAGTGGATCACCCTAAAGCAGCATAATTCAGAGGCTGCTGTGGCACAAGTAGGAGCTGTTAAGGATAATGAACTGGTTCAAAGGTTACATATTATATTCTGAACTAGATTGTAAATTCCTTTAGGGTAGTACAGAATACATAATGATATCTGGCTGTGGCTGTAAAACAATCTACTCACCTATCCCACTTCCTTCTTTCCTTCTACATTGATTGAGTACCTACATTGTGCTACTCCAGTGAGGTTGGTTTTTTGTAAGACCCCATAGAAATCTCATCCTCTAAATTTTTAAAAGTGTAATACTCTTAATAATCCACATAAAATAAAGTGCACCCATTTTAAGCATACAGATTGATGAGTTATAATAAATATATATACTATTACCACTCCATAGAACATTTCTGTTCTCTCAGGTTATTTCATTCCCTGCTCCAATCTCCCTTTTCCCACCAGAGATAATCCCTCTTTTGTTAACATAAATAGTTTCTTTTTTGAACTAAAATGAGTTTCTTGAAGTTAGATCAATACATTTTTAAATTTATCCTTCCAGTTGCTGTCTTTTAATTGTAGAGTTTAATCCATTTATATTTAATGAAATTATTCACAAGACTGTGCCAATTTTTTTTATGTCACATTTTTTGTTTCTCAGTTCCTTCATTACCTACTTCTTTTGTCTTAGACAGATGTTTTGGAAAACATCTTGGCAATTTCTTAAAAAGTTAAACATGTATTTGCCACTTGATCTGGTCATTTTATTCCTACTTATTTACTTAAGACTTAAACATGGGTGGATAGTCATAGCTCCTTTATGATTCCATTCATGTGAAGTTGTCAAAAATGCAAACTCATCTGTAGTGATAGCCGGATCGGTAGTTGCTTCAGAGCAGGAGCAGTTCTAGGAATTACAGAGGAGGGGGAGGAAACTCATGGGTGTGCCAGCTATGTTCATTTTGTTGATTGGTGATGGTTTTACAGGTGGTCAATACTTATAAGTTATAAACTTTAAGTATATGCACTTCATTGTGTGTCAATTATTTCTCAGTAAAATAGTAAAAAAAATAGTAAAGAATATAAAGCTAATGTCATGTGTGTATAGACATACATACATGCAATGGAACATTCCACCATGAGAGAAAGAAAGAAGTCCTGCTATGTGACAACATGGATGGACCTTGTGGGCATTATGCTAAGTACAGTAAGCTAGACAGAGAAAGACACTGCAGGCTGCATGTTATTATTTGTATGTGAAATCTTTTTTTTAAAAAAGTGAATAACAGAAACAGTGGAAAGTGGCTGCCAGAGACTGGTAGAATGGGGGAAATAGAAAGAGGTCGATAAAATGCTACAAGCTCTCACCTGTAAGATAAATAAGGCCTGAGGATCTAATGTAAAATATGGCAACCATATTTGATAACACTGTGCTGTACAATTGAAATTTGCTAAGAGATAAACTTAAATATTCTCACCTAAATAAGTAAATAAATGTGATGGATGTCTTAACTAGTAGATGGGAGGAATCCTTTCACAGTGTGTATGTACATCAAATCACCATGATGTGTGCTTTAAAATTTTATAATTTTATATGTCATTTTTACCTCAGTAAAGCTGACATAAAAAAAGGAGTCTTCATGGTATATTAAGATTGTAAATAAAAGTCCTTAATGTGATGAAGATTCTCTGCTTTAAAAAAGAAACCTATGGCAAACAACATCCTAATGGGAAATCTTAAAAGAATTCTTTTTAAATTGAGGTACAAATATACTTATTTTTACTACTCCTTATTGAACATTGTGCTAGAAATCCTATCCTGTGCAATAAGAAAATTAAGTTGGTATCATGATGTTTGGGAATAGCAGATATCAAATATTTGCAGACAATATAAATTTTTATATAAAATAACTCAAGAGTCTTATTACTCAGTAATTAGAAATAAGAGGAGACTCTTTGGGCAAGGTTGGCTAGGTGTAAGATTAATATACAAAATCAATTGTTTATGCTAGCAGTAGAGAGAATACCAAAGGAAGATACTATTTATATTAGTTTCAGTGATTATCAAGTGTCTAGAGTTAGACCTGCCACAAACAGGCAAGATCTTTAGAACAAATTTTGAAACTTTTCAGAACATCAGTAAGGAAGACATGAATAAATGAAGGGATAGGCTCTTTGTAGATATTAATTCTCTCCAAATTTATCTGTAGATTCGGTTTCATTCCATTCAAAATTTCAAAGATGTTTTTAAAGGAACTTGAATTTTTAAACTTATGTGAGGAACAGGAAGGATAGACTTTCCCTACCAAATGTAAGGACTTGTCATGACTCAATAATAATACAATGTGGTATGGTTTAAAAATAGGTAAGTTGACCAATAGAATGGAATAGAGAGCCTAGAAACAGTTTTTGTCTCTTACATTCTAAATAATTGATAGAAATGTATCGATTTTATTTGGCTTTAATTTCAGGTGAACATATTCAGGTTGTCAATTTTGCTGATATGAATGTCAAAATAAAGTACTGTAAGCCTTTTTACTCTTCTGGAGGAGGAATATACCTGTATTCTAGCATATGTGTGTTATCTTTACACTTAAAGGAACTGTGTTTATATAAATGGATGTTAGGAGTATGTTCTTAGACTTGAAGATTTTACATAAATTTTAGGAGTTAAAAATATTTATTGTCTACATTTTCCCACAAAAATACAGAACCATGAAATACTTATGACATACATACTACCTAGATTTAACAGATTGGTAACATTTCAGTATATTTATTTTTTCTAAAGTATTGTAACCTACAGCATTTTCATAACAGTGCTTAATACCTCAGTGTGGATCTCTTAAAAAAGACACTTTTTACATAACCACAATACCATTATTTCACCAAACAAAATCAATAATAATTTTTAATATTACCTAATATCTACTCCATATTCAGATTTCTTTACTTACCATCACACTGGCTTTTTAAAGTTTGTTTTTTTAACCAAGATATATTTGGTTGTTCACTTTCATGGGATTCCTCGATTCTGGAACAATTCTCCTTCTCTGACACCTTTTTTCTCACCTTTCATTTGTTGAAGAGGCTATAGTCCTAAAGGCTAGAGTATTACACTTTCTCCTATTTTTTGGCATCCTTTATCATGTTACTTTAGTCTCTCAATTTTCTGTAAAATGGACTTTAGAGCTTAAGGATTACTTTTATTCAGATCAAAATTTTTTCTCTAAAATGTTATAGATGATGCTGGATACTTAATTTTGCATCACAAAATCTTTTTTTTTTTTACTTATAATCTAAGATTGATCAATGTGTTCAGGTTATAGAATAGTTTGTTTTTAAAATGGAATATATTTACTGGGATAATTGGAAGTTTTTGTTAAAATAATTTCATAACTAATGTTAGTATTTGTAGAGTTCTTTTTCTAATTTTTTAAAATTTTACATTTTTTTATTCTTCAAGTACTGTTTTCTCCATTTCTGGAGTGTTGTTTATAATCCTCAAAGCACTTACTAGAACCATTCAATAAATGTTAATTTCTGTTTTAAAGTTTTCTATGTGCTCCTTTCCATTAGGCATGTTACCTTTTTCCTATGTGAAAAGATAAAACAGGTTTTTTTTTTTTCCACTGCAGATTTTTGGCTACTGATGTTACAAACAAAATATTGGAACATAGAGTTGAGGAAAATACTTAAACCAGGTAGGTACCACAGCAGTCTCGCTCGAGTAAGAAGAACTAAGTTGGGGGAATCATGCTACCTGACATCAAAATGTATACTGCAAGGCCATAGTAATCATGGTACTTGCATAAAAACAGACATATAGATCCGACAGAGCCCAGAAATAAGCCCATGCCTTTATGGTCAGTTAATATTGACATAGGAAGCAAGAACATACAATGGGGTAAAGATGGTCTGTTAACAAATGGTGTTAGGAAAATTGGAGAGATACGTGCAAAAAAATGAGAGACCACTTTCTTACACCATACACAAGAATAACTCAAAATAGATTAAAGATTTAGATGTTAAGACTTCAAACCATAAAAATCCCAGAAGACAACAGGCAGTAAAATCTCAGACATTTTTTGTAGCAGTGTTTTTTTCTGATATGTCTCCTTGGGCAAGGGAAACAAAAGAAAAAAAGAAACAGGACTACATCAAAACTAAAACACAGCAAAGGAAATCATTAGTGAAATGAAAAGAATCCACTGAATGGGACAACGTATTTGCCAATACAGCTGATGAGGAGTTAATATTCAAAATTGATAAAGAACTTACAAAACTCAATACCAAAAAACCCAAACAATCCAATTAAAAATGAGCAAAGGACCTGAATAGACCCTTCTCCAAGGAAGACATAGAAATGGCCAACAGACGTTTAAAAAAATGCTCAGTGTCACTAATCATCAGAAAAATGCAAATTAAAACTATAATAAGATATCGCCTCACACTGTCAGAATGGTTATCAGTATATCAACAAACAAGAAGTACTGGCGAGGATGTGGAGAAAAGGGAACCCCTTTTGTGCACTGTTGGTGAAATGCAGATTGGTGTAGCCACTGTGGAAAACAGTATGAAGTTCCCTCAAAAAATTAAAAATGGAACTTCCTTATGACACAGAGATTCATTCTACTTCTGGGAATATATCCAAAGAAACCTGAAACATTAATTCAAAAGAATATATGCACCCCTATGTTTCTTGCATCGTTATTTATAATAGCCAAAATTTGGAAGCAGCCTCAGTGCTAAGTGGAAGAGTAGATGAGTGGATGAAAAAGCTGTGGCAACTTTACACAACAGAATACTTGGCTGTAAAAAAAGAAGTCTTACCCTTTAGACAGCACAGATGGACCTGGGGAGCAGTATGCTGCGTGAAATAAGACAGTTGGAGAAAGACAAATACCATATGATTTCACTTATATGTGGGGTCTAATGAACAAAATAAACAAACAAAATTGAAATAGACACATAGATACAGAAAACAGACTGACAGCCTTTAGAGGGAAGGGGGTTGGAAGACTGGATGAAAAGGTGAAGGGATTAAGCCAAAAAATAGCAACGACAATTCATAGACACAGACAACAGTATGGTGATTATCACAGAAAAAGAAGGATGGGGGGAGGTAGAAAAGGCTAAAAGGGGAATGAATGGTGATGGAAGGAGATTTGACTTTGGGTGGTGAACTCAATACAATATACAAATTATGTGTTATAGAATTGAACACCTGAAACCTATACATGTGATTTTATTAACCACTGTCACCCCAATAAATTCAATAAAAAATTTTAAACTAGTTAGGTAAATAATAAAAGTCTAAAGAAAGAATAAAACTACCATTCATTTTGTTAAGTCATTATTGGGATAATGACAAAATTGAGATATGAACTGGAGTATTATCAAAATTAAGTTTTTTTTCTGGCCAAGATGGAGGCATAGGTGGACACACCGTACCTCCACAGACAACCAAGATTAGAACAAAACAATTTAGAAATAGAATAACATCCAGAACTGACAGAAAATTGATCTGAATGGAAGTTGGACAACCAAGAAGTTGAAATAGACCCGTTCATCCAGACAGGTAGAAGGGGCTGAGAGGAGCAGCCAGGCGCTGGTTGCCACACGGAGAACAGAGAGAGCTGGGCACGTAAGGCATCCGGGGCACACAGTACTACAGTGGGCAGACACTGAGTGTGCAAGCAGCAGCTGGCAGACCCAGTGAGGCAGCGATTGTAAAGCAAGGCAGTGCGTGCAACCCAGGATCCCAGCGCTGGGAAATAGAACCTCGGGACACTGATTGAGGACACCTGTGGGAGTTGAGGCACAAAGACACCAGCCTCACAGGAGAGGTCCCTGGAGGGTCCCACGGCGTGCACAAGCCCACCCACATGGGAATTGGCACCAGAGGGGCCCAGTTTGCTTGGGGGAAGCAACAGAAGGGACTGAGGTCCCACGAGAATGGAGCAACTGCCTCTCGACCCCGCCCCCACATACAACGTCACAACCCAGCGACTGGGGTGCCCAGCCCTGGTGAACACCTATGGCTTCGTCCCTCACCGTAACAGGTGCAATCAGACCCCCCCCCCAAAAAAAGAGAGAGAGATGGCTCAAATAGAAGAACAAATCAAAGCCCCAGAACCCATCCTTTTAAGTGACTGAGAAATAACCAACCTATCCGATGCACAGTTCAAAACACTGGTGATCAGGAAGCTCACAGAATTGGTTGATTTTGGTCGCAAATTAGATGAACAAATGCAGGTTACAATAAGAGAAATGAAGAGAAATGCACAGGGAACCAAGAGTGATGGGAAGGAAACTGGGACTCAAAACAATTGAGTGGACCAGAAGGAAGAAAGAACCCAACAGGAAAGAATGGAGAAATAAGAATTCAAAAACATGAGGAGAAGCTTAGGAACCTCCAAGACATCTTTAAACGTTCCAACATCTAAATTATAGGGGTACCAGAAGGAGAAGAGAAAGAGCAACAGATTGAAAAGTTATTTGAACAAATAATAAAGGAGGACTTCCCCATTCTGGCAAAGGAAATAGACTTTCAGGAAGTCCAGGAAGCTCAGAGAGTCCCAAAGAAGTTGGACCCAAGAAGAAAGACACCAAGGCACATCATAATTACACTAGCCAAGGTAAAAATGAAGGAGAGAATCCTAGAAGCAGCAAGAGATAAGGAGACAGTAACCTACAAAGGAGTTCCCATCAGACTGTCAGCTGATTTCTCAGAAGAGACCTTACAGGCAAGAAGGGGCTGGAAAGAAATATTCCAAGTCATGAAAGACAAGGACCTATATCCCAGATTACTCTATCCAGCAAAGCTTCATTTAGGATGGAAGGGCAGATAAAGTGCTTCTCAGATAAGGTCAAGTTAAAGAAGCTCATCACCATTAAGCCCTTATTTTATGAAATGTTAAAGGGACTTATCTAAGAAAAGATTAAAAAAAAACATGTATAGTAAAAGGACAGCAAACTCACAATTATGAACAACCACACCTAAAACAAAACCAAAAGAAACTAAGCAAACAACTAGAACAGGAACAGAACCACAGAAATGAAGATCACATGGAGGGTTAGAAACAGAGGAGTGGGAGGAGGGAAGAGGGGGAAAAGATACGGAGAATAAGTAGCATAGATTGTAGGTAGAAAATAGACAGGGGGAGGGTAAGAATAGTATGAGAAATGTAGAAGCTAAGGAACTTATAAGTATGACACATGGACTTGAACTAAAGGGGGGGAATGTGGGTGGGAGAGGGTGTACAGAGTGGAGAGGAGTGAAGGGGGGAAATGGGACAACTGTAGTAGCATAATCAAAATATATTTTAAAAATTAAGTTTTTTTAATTTGATAATTGTGCTCTGATTACATAAGAGAATATTCTGAGGTACATAGGATAAAAAGGATTGATGTATGCAACCTTTTTTGAAATGGTTCAGGAAAAGAGAAATGATACATAATGTGAGAGTTTGGTGAAGTTGTGGATTAAACGCAACTCACAGATTACCAGTGGAAGTATAATTGGAAAGAATTTTGTCTCAAGTTTTCGTTTAGCCCAGCAATTGTACTTTTTCTTATAGTAATTGTAGGAAGGCCAGAAAATGATGTATGTGTAAGGATATTTATCATGAGAATGTATGGAGTGAATGAATGAGTAAAAACTGGTAATAAACTTAATACCTAACAACATATATAAGTGATTAAATTAATAAAATTAAAAACTCTAAGCATCATCCTGGCAGGGAGGCTACTTTGGTTGGAGCATCATCTGGTACACCAAAAGCTTGTGAGTTCAATCCTTAGTCAGAGCACATACCTGGGTTCCAGATTTATTCCCTTTTTGGCACTCATAGAGGAGGCAGCTAATCTGATCAGTGTTTCTCTCTGTCTCTCTCCCTCTCCCTCTAAAATCAATGAACATGTCCTCAGGTGAGGATTTAAAAAAATTTTAAGCATTAGAATAACAATATAAATCTATACTTATTGATAGTATTAAATATGTAGAATATATATATATATATACACACACATATATGTATATATAATCCTCACCCAAGAATATGTTTATTGATTTTTAAGAGGGGGAAGGAAAGAAAGAGAGAGAAACATGAATGTGAGAGCAAAACATCAGTTGGTTGCCTTTCATACGTGCCCCAACTGGGGATCGAACCTGCAACCTGAGCATGTGCCCTGACTGGGGATCAAACTCACAACCCTTTGATGTATGGGATGATGCTCCAACTACCTGGCCAGGGCACAGTGTCTATATTTTTAAGTGTCAAAGTGGTCTACTAAACAATATGAATAGTAATAACCTACTTTTTAATTTTATTTTTCAATTACCGTTTGCATGCAATAATAGTAACCATTTTTTCACAAAAGATGCATATACAAAGATACGCAAATGTTGATTCACATTTAATTAATTAGATGTAATCTGCCTGTGCAGATAACATCTGTATATAGTACATACAAGGTGGGGCAAACATAGGTTTACAGTTGTTCATATGGAAAATAATATAATAATTAACCAATCACAATACAAGAATAAACTTGGTTTCACACATACACAACTGTAAACCTACGTTTGCCCCACCCTATATATACATATCATTTGCATACTTAAATAATATGCATATCATTTGCATACTTAAACATGTGTTTGTGTGCACATGACATTTGGAATGATGGCACTGATATATTACCAGTGGTTATTTTTGAATAGCAAGTTTATAAGTGATTTTTATACTTTTTTTGTTAGCTGACTTTTTAGGAAGTACATTTTGTTTTTCTCATCAAATTTCTCTAAGATGCTTCTTCTGGAGGTTAATGTGTTTTGATTTTATTTTATGCCATGCAGCAGATTTTGGTATGCAGTAAAAATAGTGCCATATTTGCTAGTAACTCTGTACCATATTATTGTATCTGAGTAGTTCTTAAGAGGCCAAATTCACAGATTCTGAGTCTTGTTGGTCAGCCGCTTTCATTGATATGTAGCCAGGGTCTGTTTTCTTAATGCTCTGTTAACTTTCATGCAAGTGTGATGCTATTCACACAGCTTAGCTAAAGTACATGACCCTTTTTGGCAAATCAGAGAATATTTCTATTAATGACAGTTGTGTAGTGTCTTTGTGTATACAGCTTAGATATTTACTTTTGATAGTTGTCACAGCCTGTCTTTTGATATTAATACTGATTATTGTTTTTTAAAGTTTAATCTTTGTTATGTTTTTCCATTACCATTTAGTCCCCTTATGCACCCCCTTCCCCTAGTAATTAGCCCACTGTCGTCCATGTCCATGAGTCCTTTTTCCTTTTTGCTCAATCCCTCCACCCACTACCCTCTCCCCACCCACACAGCTGTCACCCTGCCCTCCATCTGTGAGTCTGTCCCCATTTTCCTTGTTTTTATAGTTGATTTAATGTATAGCAGTCAATTTTGAGGGCATTTTCCATTAAACTTTATTTTACATATTGCTTTTCTTTAACAGATTTTTCTTCAGGTAGTTAAAAATATGGATCCTGAAGAAGGGGTACCTCCGACTATCAAAGTGACACCTCTTCAACAAATGCTTGCCTCTTGTACTGGAGCTATACTGACATCACTAATGGGTAAAATAATGTTACTGATGTAGATTATATAACTGAATTAATTCGTTTGAGCTTTACCATCTGTGATATAATAATACTGTCATTCATTTTTTCATAAATGATATCTCTCCATCTACATAACATGAAAAGAACACAGGACAGAGAAACAAGAGACTTGAATTTTAGTCCTTTCTTTGTCATTCTCAGGGTAAATGCACTTTGGGGATTGTCTCTACTTCTCTCTGAGCTTCATTTTTCATCTGTAAATTTGGGCCTTACGTCAGGATTTTGTGTGGTTTTTATCAGTGTTAAACTTTCCTGATTTTTATTCTCTTTGAACAATAAAAAGCAAGAAGATGAAATAAAATATCAGCATAATGAATAATACAGAATTTGGACAATTTATAGTAGCAATAAATACAAATTGTTTAACTTTGCTTATATTGATGGTGAATTTTTAAAATTTCTCTGGATCACATTTTTCTTTTTTTTATGGTCAGTTTCTTGTAGACATAGTCAAATGACATAGCTGATAGTTCAACATCTTAATGATTTTAAGCTGGCTGGTTATTTAAATAAGATAGCAAATGACTACAACAAACATAAATGAGTCACTTTAGGATGGTAGTATGTTACGTGACGTCAGAATGTTAGGGTTGTGAAGGCCTGAAGGCCTCTGACATCACGTCAGAATGTTAGGGTTGTGAAGAGATAATTCTCAGATGAGGAAAATATTTCTTTGGTACTGTTACTTGGCATTTTTTCTATCGGGCAAACATAGCATGCAAATTAAAACCATTTTCCTTTTCTGTGCTGTTCTCAAGTGGAATAATATAACCTGGTGGTAAAGATGATTTATGACTAGCTTATTCAAATTTACATTAATTATAGTTTTTATTTGATACAGGTAAATCTAATAAGTTAGGAAGACTAATATTGTTTATTAATTAAAATACAGAGTTGTTTTCCATATTCAAATAGACTTGGACTAGTATTTTAGTTTTAACATTAATGGAATTATAATTGTAGAAGTATTTTAAATGACATTTTAGCACTTGTGAGAGAAGTAATTACATTGTCTTTTCATTGATTCTCTTCAAACAAAATTCAAGGGCAAAAATTAGAATATTACATTCAAAACCACTTTAAGATAAATAATCTTACCCATTGTATAGTCATGAAGAAAAGTGTGATTTGAAACACAGGTTGGGGCAAAAGTAGGTGTACAGTTGTTCATATTGAAAGTAATACAGTAAGCCCTGGCTGGCGTAGCTCAGTGGATTGAGCGTGGGCTGCAAACCAAAGTGTCGCAGGTTCGATTCCCAGTCAGAGCACATGCCTGGGTTGCAGGCCATGACCCCCAGCAACCGCACATTGATGTTTCTCTCTCTCTATCTCCTTCCCTTCCCTCTCTAAAAATAAATAAATAAAATCTTATTAAAAAAAAAGAAAGTAATACAATAACTAGTAAGTGAGAATAAGAATAAACTCTGTGTTTTGCATACTCAGAACTGTAAACCTACTTTCTGCCCCACCATGTATTTTGTGTTCTTTGGACAAACATCTCTAAACTTACATGTATCACTTGTTAATCGAAATTTATGTATCTTCACAGTGACGCCCCTGGATGTTGTTAAAATTCGACTCCAAGCCCAACACAGACCATTTTTCAAAGGTACATACCAGTTATTCTGGAAGTGTTATGTTAGATTTTTAAATGTTACTGCATTTGTTTTTGTTTGAATGTTAATCTTTTTGTCAATTAAAAAAATTGATGCCTCTGTGTCCTCAGGCAGAAGCAGTTTTTCATCATGTAGGTTTCTAGGCTGAAAACAAATATGTATGTGCAACACTTTATAAACCTACTAATTAAGTCAGAGGATGATTTTATATTTGGTTTATATATGCCTCACAAGTTAGAATGGAATATACTCCTCAGGGACCTTGGAATCTAGCTTCCTCCTTAGTCTGAGAGCTATGCCAGTCCTAGAACATCAGCAGTCCTCCAACTGTTGCTTGAATACAGTGACAGGAAACTCACTATCAGACAGCTTGGTTAATTGCTCAACAGTATAGTTTATGTGCAATCTGAGAAGAGTAATTATACATTTTTATTAGATGAGCAAAAACAATAATTCCTTCATCAGTTTTTCTGGTTTTATAGAGATAATGGCACTTTAAAACATTTTTAAATAGCAGAAAACTTACTGGACTGTGAGGAATTTGGGTCAGACAAAGATGCCACTCTGTTGAATGCATACTAGTGAGATGGAATGAACAGTAGGTGTATTTCAGATGAATGACAGGATAGATGGATTGTAGAAACTAAAAAGTAAGGTACTTCCCTACATATTGAAGAAAGCCTTAAAAGCAGGAGGCACTTGGCTTATGTATTATGAAACTCACAATTGTGTATATGGTTGAACAGAGAAGACAATTTTGGCAGCAAGGGTTAGGCCAATAATGGGAAAGAGTTGATATTAAAGAAAGTGGTAAATTAGGTGGGAGGTAATGAATGTCTGAATGGAGCAGTATAAATCCAGAGAAAGGGGCAAAGCGTAGCACTATTTACCTTGATCAAGAAGAACATATCTTTTCATAACCTATTTTTATTGAGATATAATCGACATATAACACTATTAGTTTTAGGTATGGAGCATAATGATTTCATATATGCATATATTGCAAAGTAATCACCACAGTAAGTTTAGTTAACATCCATCACCTCACAAATTTACTTTTTCTGGTCATGAGAACTTTTAAAATCTACTCTTAGCACCTTTCAGATAAGTGTTCGATTTCATAATATGTTTTTGTCTGTGTTACCCTTGCCACCACAGAGTTCATCACCCATGTTCTCACATCAGAACAAGTTTTCCTCCTTTATCTTTTCTTTTCATTTCCTCAGATAACCAAAAAGAATTTATTTCTGTGTGCATCTGCTTAGTACAGTTCTGAAAATCTAAAATCCATAAGTGTATCAGTTACCTTCACTACTATCAATTTAGATCTCAGTGCTATGTCATTAAGCAAATCAAATTATGTATATTTTATCCTAAAAGGCGAGGACAAGGTTGTATCTTTTTTATAGTTTTCTAGTTCCCTCATTATAATTTCAATTTGTTCATCAGTAAAAATAATACAATTGCATGAAGTAATTGTTGACTGTTGTAATCATCTTTGTTAGGAAAATGTTTTATATATAGTAACGGACTTATGGATCACTTATGTGTCTGTGAAGAGGAAGGAAAAAAAGCATGGTATAAGAAGCCAGGATTTTTCCAGGGAACATCGGTAAGGAGATTATATCATTTATAATCATATTATATTTTCTATTTTTATATTTTATCTTATCAATGATTTTCCAAATTACAGGACCATGAAATTTTATAAGTTAGCAAATTTATCCACAGCAGATATTGAAGCAAGAAAAGGAAAAATACTTTTTTGCTTTTAACTCTTTAACTTTCTTTTTATTTTTTCATGCTTTTTATGTAGGAATAAAGGAAGTACATACTTTAGTTAAATATTTTTATATTGAGATAATTGTAGGTCATACACAATTTTAAGAAAAATATACAGAGAGATCCCATGTACCCTTTTCTCTATTTCCCCCGATGTAACATCTCACAAAACCAAGTATAATATCACAACCAGGTTAGAGGTATTGATACAGGTAAGATACAGGACAATTCCATCACCACAGAAATCCTTCTGTTTCTCTTCTATAGTCATACCTATTTCCTTTCTGCTCTTAACTCACTTCATTGTGTAGGCATGATTGATAAATCACTGGCTGTTGGTGATTACTTCAACCTCCAGTCCCTCTCCCTTCCCGAGGTCCTGAGGTTGGGGAGAAGAATGGGGTAGGGGAGTGAAAGTTCCAACCCTCTGCAGATATACCTGATTTCATTATGCTTTGTTTTATTGTGCTTCCCAGATACTGCTTTTTTTTTTTTTTAGAAACTTCAGGTTTGTGACAACCTGGCATTGAGTAAGTCTATCAGCACCATTTTTCCAAAGAGCATTTGCTCACTTTGTGTGTCTGTATCACATTTGGTAATTCTTGCAATTGTTCAGACTCTTCTTATTGTCTTATTTGTTATGATGATCTGTGATCAGGGATCTTTGATGTTAGGATTATAATCATTTTGGGGTGCCATGAACTGGGCCCATATAAGACAGTAAACTTAATTGCTAAGTGCTGTGTGCGTTCTGACTGCTCCACTGACCAGACATTCCACGTCTCTCTCTCTCTCTCCTTGGGTCTCCTGTTACCTGAGACACAACAATATTGAAATTAGGCCAAGTGATAGCCTACAGTGGCCTCTAAGTGTGTTCAAATGAAAGAGAGCTGCGAGTCTCACTTTAAAGCAAAAGCTAGAAATGATTAAGGTTAGCGAGGAAGGCATATCGAAAAGCAGAGATAGGTGGGAAGCTAGGCCTCTTGCACCAGTAGGCAAGGAAAAGTTTTTGAAGGAAATTAAAAGTGCTACTCCATGACAAACATCTTTGACAGACATGATGTTCATCGTGGCAGTGTGGCTGGTGACAGCAAAAATGACCCATTAATGGAAGCAGCTAGATTCACAGCTCGGGTGATATCCTGAACCATCTGGGCCAAGTCAGTACTGGATATGCAACTGATTTGCTCACATTGCTTGCAAATTTGCTAAGCCAAATAAAGTTGATTCTCATTCTGGGGAAAAGCTGGAAGATGGCCCAAGGTTTTTGAAATCTGGTGATGCTGCCACCGTTGATATGGTTCCTGGTGAGCCCAAGTATGTTGAAAGCCTCTCAGACTATACCCCTCTGGGCCATTTTGCTTTTGTGACATGAGACAGTTGCTGTGGGTGTCATCAAAGCAGTGGACACAAAAGCACCTGGAGCTGGCAAAGTCACCAAGCCTTCCCAGAAAGCTCAGAAAACTAAATGAGTATTATCCCCAATATATGACACCCCAGTCTGAATCAGTGGTGAAAGAATGGTCCAGGAACTGTTTGTCCCAATTGGCCATTTAAGTTTAATAGTAAAGACTGGTTATTGATTACAATTCATCGTAAAACCTTTGGAAGGAAAGGAGAATGTTTTGTGGACCATTTTTTTTTGGGGGGGGGCAGTTTTTAAGTTACTAGTTTTTAAAATTAGTACTTTTTAATGGAAACTACTTGACCAAAAATCTGTCACAGAAATTTTGAGACCCATTAAAACAAAGTTTAATGAAGAAAAAAAAAGTGCTACTCCAGTAAACGCAGGAGTGGTAAGAAAGTGAGACAGCCTTATTGCTGACATGGAAATAGTTTTAGTCATTTGGATAGAAGATTAAACCAGCTACAACATTGCCTTAAACAAAAGCCTAATCCAGAGCAAGGCCTGAGAGAGGTTAGGAAGCTGCAAAAGAAATGTTTTAAACTAGCAGAGGTTGGTTGATCAGATTTAAGGACAGAAGCCGTCTTTATAACCTAAAAGTGCAAGATGAAGCAGCAAGATGTAGAAGCTACAGCAAGGTATTCAGAAGATCTAGCTAAAATAATTAATGAAGGTGGCTACATTAAACAACAGAATTTCAACTAGGCAAAACAGCCATATTTTGGAAGGTGCCATGTCTGGGACTTCCATAGCTAGAGAGGAGAAGTTAATGCCTGGCTTCAGAGCTTTAAAGGACAGGCTGACTCTATTGTTAGGAACTTAGGCAGCTGGTGACTTTAAATTGAAGCCAAAGCTCATTTAGATCATTCTGAAAATCCCAGGGCCCTTAAGAATTATGCTGTATCTCCTCTGCCTATGGAACAATAAAACCTGGATGACAGCATATCTGTTTATAACATGGTTTACTGAACATTTTAAGCCCATTTTGAGACCGATTGTTCAGAAAAAAAGGTTACTTTCAAAATATTGCTCATTGACAATGCACCTGATCACTGAAGAGCTTCGATGAAGATGTACAGTGAGACGGATGTTGTTTCCATGCCTATTAACACAACATCCTTCTACAGCTCGCGGATCAAGGAGTAATTTTGACTTTCATGTCTTACTATTTAAGAACTACATTACAGCCCTGGCTGGGTAGCTCAGTTGGTTAGAGCATCATCACCATATGGCAAAGTTGTGGGTTCCACCTGTCAGGGTACACACAAGAAGCAACCGATGAATGCATGGGTGGGTAGAACAACAAATTGATATTTTTTTCTGTCACCCTGTTCCTGTCTCTCTCTAAAAGTCAACAACAACAAAAATACATTTCATAAGGCTATAGCTGCCATAGATAGTGAATATAGATATAGATAGTGATTTCTCTGATGAACCTGGGCAAAGTCAATTGAAAACCTTCTGGAAAGGATTTACCATTCTAGGGCCCATGAAGAACAGTTGTGATTCGTGGGGAGAGGTCAAAATAGCAACATTAGTAAAAGTTTGGAAGAAGTTGATTCCAACCCTCATGAATGACTTTGAGTTCAAAACTTCAGTGGGCCAGTGACTGTGGATGTGGTAGAAATGGCAAGAGAACTAGGATTAGAACTGGAGCCTGAAGATGTAAGTGAATTGCAGCAATCTCATGATAAAACTTGAGCAGATGAGGAGTTGCTTCTTATGGAAGCAACTTCTTATGCTTCTTAGGAGCATAAAGAGTGGTTTCTTGTGATGGAATCTATTGGGAGGGGGAAGGAAGGGGAGAAGGAGGTACACGTGTAACCCAGAGACGCGGGTCCCCCACCCGACCACCCTGGGAAAGGGGCCATGGGTGCTGCCATCCGCTGCCATCCACTGCCACCAGCCGTTGGCGTGAGGAGTAAGGAAGGGCAGTTGCACCGCGGAGGGCACAGAACTCTGGTGGGGAGGGGTCTCGGGCGTGGAGAGACACCTCCCCCGAGCTGCAGTCCCCCTCTCCCCACTCTGTCCCTCCCCGTCACGGAGGAAACACACAAGAGAGGACAGACCCTTGTATTGAGGGCTGGCTTTCACTAAATCGCAGCGAGGGAGCTGCTCTGCTGTGTGCAAAACGCTGACCCAGAAGCAGGTGGTCTGTAAATGATTTAGCGCCAGGTTCCCCACGAACGTGAGGTGTGTGACCAGTGAGGGGGTGCCCCCTTCCCCGAGACCCAGGGCTCTCCGCACCAGACAGCTCCCAAGGCATGGCGGGGGGGGGCACCATGAGATGCACGTGGTGATGGGATCTATTCTCGATGAATATGCTGTGGAGATTGTTGACGTGACAACAAAGGATTTAGAATATTATACAAACTTAGTTGATAAAGCAGAGTCAGGGTTTCAGAGGCTTGACTCGAGTTTGGAAAGAAGTTCTGTGAGTAAACTGTTAACAAACAGCATTACATGCTACAGAGAAATTGTTCATGAAAGAAAGAGTCAATTGATGTGGGAAACTTCATTGTTCTATTTTAAGAAATTGCCACAGCCACCCCAGCCACCCCAGCCTTCAGCGGTCACCACCCTAATCAGTTAACAGTCGTCAACCTTGAGACTAGACGGCCACTGGCAAAAAATTCACAATTTGTGGAAGGCTCAGATAATGATTAGCATTTTCCTAGCAATAAAATGTTTTTTTAATTAAGGTATATACATTTTGGGGGCATAGTGCTATTGTACATTGAATAGATTACAGTGTAATATAAACATAAATTGAATACACAGGGGGAACAAAAAATGAGTTCGACTTGCTTTATTACAGTGATCTGCAGCTAAACCAGAAATATCTCCCAGGTATACCTGTATTACTCCGTTGGTTCCCCTTACCAGCCCCCACCTTGTGATCATCTAGGGGCTTCCAAAAATTACCTCATTAGCATAAACTGGTGTGGTTGAAAGGGTCTTGTTATGAATAACAAAAGACAATTCTTTTACCTTTATGTGGAGCTATTTCAGGTCTGAGGACAAAACAGCAAGTATTATAACAAAAGATGCTCCCATTGTTCTTTATTACTTAGGAAATATTAAGAATTTTAGATGCTGTGTTCCAGAAACCATGGACAAAGACCAAAATGTATATTTCTTATTATAACTTGTAATATTTAAATCTTTCTCTGGGATAAATGCTCAGGACTGCATTTTCTGGGTCATCTGGTAGTTGCATGTGTAGGGTTTGCTGACCTAACAACATCCAATCCTGTAAAAAAAAATTACGAGTTTAATAGAGCCAAAGAGAGGATATGCCTGGAAGCTACATCTCAACTGATTGAGAAAAAAATGCTTGTCAGGATGGCAGTTTGCAGTCTGAATTTGCAATTAAGGGGAGAAGGAAGATGACTTGAAGGTGGAAGAAAGTAAGGCAGGTGATGGGGTTACAGGATAGCTAACAAGATGACGTGCTCTCTAGAGTTAGAGGGTCATTATACTTCCCAGGGGGCCGAAAGGGGGCATTTCGAAGATACATTAACCTAGATGCACAAAAACAATGGATAAGACTCGCTTAAGACAGAGATAAACATTTTACTAAAGAATATGCTCACCTTCCCACTTAGGAATTTATTACCAGATTTCCTTGTGAGGTTACTTTTAGTTACTGAACTTGTACATACCCCATTTTTGTCTGCAACAGTGTGCTTTGCAAATATTTTTATACAGTCTACCTTGTCTTTTTATCCTCTTAAATGGGGTCTTTATTGGAGCAAAAGTTTAAAACTTTGATTAAGTTTATCAGTATTTTTCTATGTAAATCATAGAAAATGTCAAGTCTAAGAACTCTTTACTTACCCTTAGACCTGAAGATTTTCTCCCATTTAAAAAAATTTTAAGAATAGTTGCTATATAATATTACATTGTTTGTATTAGTTTCAGGTGTGCAATATAGTGACTCGACATTTTTATACCTTACAATGTGATGACCCCACTAATTCTAGTAGTCATCTGTCACAGTGTCAACTTTGTCACAGTGTTATTGACTGTGTTCCCCTTCTCCTTTTCCTTCATCCTCTCACCACCTCCCTTCCAGTAAACATCCCTTTAGTCTCCGTTTCTGTGAGTCTATTTTTGTTAGTTTTGTTTTGTTTTATAAGATTCCACATATAAGTGAAACCATACAGTATTTGCGTTTCTCAACTTACTTCACTTACCATAATACCCCCTAGATCCTTCCATGTTGTTGCTCATGGCAAGATTTCATTCTTTTGTATTGCTGTGTAATTTTCATTGTATATATATGCCATATCTTCTTTATCCTTTCATGTGTATCCATGGATACCTAGGTTGCTTCCACATCTTGGCTATTGTAAATAATGCTGCAATGAACTTGGGGTACACATATCTTTTCAAATTCATGTTCTCATTTTCTCTGGATAAATACCCAAAAGTGGAATTGCTGGATTGAGTGATAAGCCTATTTTTAGGATTTTGAGGAACCTCCATAATGTTTTCCATAGGGGTTGCATCAGTTTACAGTCCCACCAACAGTGCCCAAGAGTTCCCTTTTCTCCACATCTTCACCAGCACTTGTTTTTTGTGAACTTTTTGATAATAATCATTCTGATTGGTGTGCAGTAGTATCTCTTTGTGGTTTTGATTTTCATTTCCCTGCTGATTAGTTGTGTTGAGCATCTTTTCATGCATTTATTGGCCATGTGTTCTGTATGTCCTCTTTGGACACATATCTTTTCATGTCTTCCGACCATTTTTCAATTGGATTTGTGTGTGTTATTGAGTTATATGTGTTTTTTAATATATTTTGGATATCAACTCCTTATCAAATATACCATATGCAAATATATTCTCCCATTCAGTAGGTTGTGTTTTGTTAAAGGTTTCCTTTGTTGCACAGAAGCTTTTTAGTTTAAGTCCCATTTGTTTTATTTTTGCCTTTGTTTCCCTTGTTCAAGGGGCTGTATTCAAAAAGACATTGTTCAGGCTGATGTCAAATAGTTTACTTCCTATGTTTTCTTCTAGAATTATTATGGTTTCAGGTTTCACATTTAAGTCTTTAAATAATTTTGAGTTTGTTTTTGTATATGGTGTAAGAGAGTGGTCCTGTTTTATTTATTTAGATTTTATTTATTTATTTTTAGAGAGAGTGGAAGGGAGAAAGGAGAGGTAGAGAAATACCAAAGTGCAAGAGAAACATCGATGGGTTGCCTCTCACATGTCCCCCAACCAGGGACCCGGCCAGCAGCCCAGTCATATGTCCTGACCAAGACTTGAACTGGCAACCTTTTGGTGTGCAGGCTGGTGCTCAATCCACTGAGCTACACCATCCAGGACTATTTATTTTTTACATGTATTTTTCCAGTTCTCTCAGCACATCTTGTTGAAAGACTGTCATTACTCCCTTATATATTTTTATATCCTTTGTCATAGGTTAGTTGACCACATAAGCTAGGTTTCTGAGCTATCTACTCTGTTCCCTTGTTCTGTATGTCTGTTTTTATGTCAGTATCATACTGTTTTTATTATTATAGCTTTGTTGTGTAGTTTCAGATTAGGGAACACTATACCTCCCACTTTGTTCTTCTTAAGATTGCTTTGGCTGTTAGGGGTCTTTTGTGGTTCCATACAAATTTTAGGATTATTTGTTCTAGTTCTGAGAAGAATGACATTGTTTGTTTGTTTGTTTGTTTTTTAATAGAGATAGAGAAAGAGAAACACCTATTTGTTTCACTTACTTATGCATTCATTGATTGATCCTTGTATGTGTCCTGATTAGGGATCAAACCCACGACCTTGGTGTATTGGGATTGAATTCTAACCAACTGAGCTACTTGGCCAGGGGAAAATTCCTTTAAAAAATATTGCCCCTACATAAATCTGAGAAGCTTATATTTTAGAAATAAACACTTGAGAGAATCAAATTACCAATCAATTACTAGTATAAACTTTTTATATATCAGATTTAGGGATGTATTTAGACTACTATTTTCTATTATAATTTTAGGATGCCTTTATGAAAATCATTCGAAATGAGGGGATTAAATCCCTGTGGAGTGGCCTTCCCCCTACTTTGTAAGTTGAAATTTAATATATTTTTTAGTAAGTGATGGTGGTGTTTGTTTTGTTTTATAATCAGCATGATTAGACAAAATTGTGCATTTTTAATATTAGAACTTTTTTAAAGCATTGTTTCGTGAGTTCCACAACACCAACACATTTGAGGATTTGCTGCAAGGTCTCATGGGACCTAAAGAAGGTTGCCCTCATGTCCGTGGTTTATTACAAAAAGACACAAAGCATCAGACAGGAGAAAGACACAAAAGAAGTTGACCAGGCAATAGGCTCCAGAGTCCTCTCTCATGACACCACCCAGGATGCATTTGTTTTCTCAGCCTGAACTACAGCAGCATGTGAAAAGTGTTTCTGCCTTAAATCACACTTGAATTTTAGACTCTCGGGCTTTTATTGAGGGTGGATGGCATAGGCACATTCAGTGTTTGTGACCAACTCTGATTACCAAAGTCCAGACCCCTAGAAGAAAAGCAGATATTCACCAGAAACACATCATTTGCACAAATCAACCTAGACAAGTGGGTTTGGTTCCAGATAGAGAGAAAAACCTGATAGTAGGGAATATTCCAAGGGCTAACTTTCTTGGAGTTGGCCGAAGGTCAAGCATGCAAATAATGCCCTCCTGACCTGATAGAAGATTGAAACAACCAAGCTCGCTGTGTTGTGTCTGGCACACAAGCATAACTTTCTTTTCATGTTCAGAAATTGAAAATTTAATGTATGACTTTTTGTTAATTTTACTAAAATAATGAGACATTGTGATAAGTATACTTTTCCTTTTCCAGATGATTTTAATTCTCTTCTCACTAGCCATTATATGAATTAATATGATAAACAAGTAAGGCTTAGTTAAAAGTCCCAACTAATACCTTGCCCTTATATACCTTGTTTCTTTATAATTTATCTTTTTAATGGGGCAAATTAGTCAACCTTAAGGCATATATTTTAAATACTGCCTAAACTTATAAAGTTAGTGGTAGATCCAAGACCAGCAGACAATCATATTTCAAAATTCTCATCATCAAACTTCATTATAGAACATTAGTCATTCCATAGTATGGTGGATGAATGTCCTTTAGTTAATCCATAAACATAGACTGGTCTCTTGTTGCATTAGTATTTACGACATGACAGCGCCTGCAACTTTGTGTTTAGTTAATAATTCCCTTTTGATATTTTCATTTGAAAGAATGTCATTGGAATATCCTTGATACTAGTATATATAAGTCTGGCATCATTAATTATAATTTATTTCCAGTTTTGTAAGCAGGTATATGGTCCAGAGTTCAAAACTATGTTACAATTGCTCTCGTACTTTTTACTTCAATGATTTTCATGTTACGATATTTGGAAGGCCAGAAACAGATAGAACATAGAACAAGTCTAGGAGACAGAGAAGTGTCCTCATTTATCTCTTCCTGCTTATGATCTGACTGGTACTCTAACTTATTTTCACAGCTAGCATGTAAACTTCTGGAGGGCAGATACCTATTTTATGGTTTGTTTGTTTTTTTGCAGCCTACTAAGTTAATAATTTTTAAAATAAAAGAAAAATTGATCTCATAGGCTGATTCATTATGCTTTTTAGCTTATACAAAACATGAGGAATTTAGCTTGTATTTAATAATGTATTTAAGCATTTTTGATAATTTTATGCAAATCTTTGTGCTTGCGTGTTTCTAACAGAGTAATGGCAGTTCCTGCCACAGTTATTTATTTTACCTGCTATGACCAATTAACTGCTCTCCTGAGATCTAAATTAGGAGAAAATGAAAGCCGCATACCAATTGTTGCTGGAATTGTGGCCAGATGTAAGTAATAAGTTTATTATATTTTCATTTTGATCTATGTTTAAAGCTTCATTTAAAATTTTGACATTCACAGAGAATTTGTATAAAATTCAGACTCTTGGTAATACACATTTTGCATTTATAGTTTGTGCTAATTTGGTAGTATTTATACTCTAGAAGTCATATGACATGGTAATTGCTATCAGAAAGAAATGGAATCAATCCATCCTTGTCAAATATTGGACAGAGATTTTAGAAAGACTTTTAGACTTTAGATTCTGGATATGAGGATGACATCAGATAGTTGCAAAAGTCCTGAATCATTTTCCTTACAGACTTTGAGATTCAGAGTTTCACCAGAAGGGAATTTGCCTCTGTGTAGAAGGATGTTTTTCTCTGTGCAGTTGGAGTGAAGTTTCTGTAGTAGTTCTAGTTGATATATATTTCTGGAACTTCCCTTGTACGAGTTGAAACCAGAGAGTAAGGTATATGAAAACAAACATTTAAGAATTACCCTTACCAAGGAAAAAGAAATGGGTACCGGTGTGTTGGCATTACAGATTTGATTTTTAAGGTTTGCAGACATTTCAGAATAGAAATTTAAAATATAAAATGCATGAACTATTAATTTTGCACATGTGTTTGCATAGTACATGACTCTGTTTTTTTTAAATATTTGGTTTGTATTAGTTGGTGCAGTAACTGTGATAAGTCCATTAGAATTGATAAGAACCAACATGCAATCTAAGAAGTTTTCTTACAAGGAACTGCATCAGTTTGTCAGCAAGAAAGTATCTGAAGATGGTTGGATTTCCCTTTGGAGAGGTTGGGCTCCTACTATTTTTAGAGATGTACCATTCTCAGGTAGGATTTATCTTATTCATATCTGCCAAATGTTAAGTAGCTTTGTCTTATTTATATATTACATTAAAATCAACTAAACTTTAATCCCTAAGGCTAAGGGTATGCTGTCTTGTTTAGTAACTACAAACTCCTAGTTCAGTGTTGAACTCTCAGAGCTTTATGGGTCTTCATTGAATGAATAGTTTCTCATTCAAGCCTGGTTTTATTTTCTTCTTATGTTTAATTTCTATTCAAACATTAATCAGTATTAATTTGTATTTAGATGATACAAACTATCTTTAACTTATTCTAAACAAGTCATAATTAATAAGGTGAGTAAACTGCAAATCAGAATATCACAAAATACATTTAAGACTGCCTGTGAATAATGCTGACCCCTACTTTTTCAACTTTCAAAGACAAAAATCTTCCCCATTAAATGAATGTCTTGTAAACAAGACTATTATAAATCTGATAGGAGATTAAGATTATGTTGAATTATGAAATGGGTGAAAGTTGTGAAAAAGAAGTGTAAAGCTAACAAATATCTTGTCAAATGTGCATACTTCAGTACCCTTTCTCTTGTATATCATGGGAATTTTCTTTTAAGACCTATAAGAAATAATTACTAAGGACCTTTGTATTAATGTTCTGCTTTCTTTTTTCTTTTTAGTTAATCATTTTTTTGGCTCTCCTATTCATATCTCTCTGCATCTTTCCATCTTCATTAGTATTTTTCTTCAACATTTTGTGATCAGTTTAAAAACATAGTATGTAATTAATCATAAATTCCTAGGCCAAATATATTTTTCATTTTTGTACTAATTGATATTTCACATAGAAAAAGTAACAGATATAAATGATAAAGTATACTAATAAAATGAACACCGATGAAGTCACAACTTCAGTATATGAACTAGAACATTACAGTTTTTAAAATCATGAAACCAGAAAACCACATATATTCTCCTCTAGTATAACATACACCCATTGGTAGCTTCTACTTTGTATTTTTCTTTTTTATATACAATCTTACTTTATTAAGATGGTTTTAAAAATAAAAAATATTTTTATTGTTTATTCTATTACAGTTGTCCCAATTTTTCCCCTCTGCCTCTCTCCACCCAGCCCACACCCCACACCATCGTCCATGTCCATGGGTCATTCATATATGTTGACTAATCCCTTCCCCTTCTTTCCACCTTTCCCCTCTGCCCCCCCTTCCTCTTAAGCTGTCAGTCTGCTCCCTGTTTCCATGTCTCTGGTTCTGTTTTCCTCATTAGTTTATTGTTCATTAGATTCTACTTATAAGTGAGGTCACATGGTATTTGTCTTTTACCTACTGGCTTATTTCACTCGGCATTATACTCTCCAGTTCCATCCATGCTGTCATAAAAGGTAGAAGTTCCTTCTTTCTCTCTGCTGTGTAGTATTCCATTGTGTAAATGTACTACAGTTTATTGATCCACTCATTTACTGATGGGCACTTAGGTTTCTTCTAGCACTTGGCTATTGTAAATGGTGCTGCTATGAATATTGTGGTACATAAGTCCTTTTGAATTGATGTTTCAGGGTTTTTAGGCTATAATCCCAGCCGTGGAATTGCTGGGTCAAAAGGCAGTTCCATTTTTAGTTTTTTTGAAGAAATTCCATAGTGTTTTCCACAATGGCTGCACCAATCTGCATTCCCACCAACAGTGCACTATGGTTCCCTTTTCTCTGCAACCTTGCCAGCACTTGTTTGTTCATTTCTTTATAATAGCCATTCTGACTGGTGTGAAGTGGCATCTCATTGTGGTTTTAATTTGCATCTTTCTGATGGCTAGTGATGCTTAGCATCTTTTCACATGTCTCTGGGCCCTCTGCATGTTCTCCTTGGAGAAGTATCTGTTCATATCCTTTGCCCAATTTTTAATTGGGTTGTTTGTCTTCCTGCAGTGGAATCGTGTGAGTTCATTATTTTGGAGATCAGACCTTTGTTTGAAGTGTCATTAGCAGTATATTTTCACATACAGTTGGTTCTCTTTTCATTTTGCTGATGTTTTCTTCAGCCATACAGAAGCTTTTTATTTTGATGAAGTCCCATTTGTTTATTCTTTCCTTTATGTCCCTTGCTCTAGGGAACATATCAGTGAAAATATTGCTGTGTGGAATATCTTGAGATTATCCTGCCTATGTTCTCTAGGACCTTTATGGTGTTGCAACTTATATTTAAGTCTTTCATCCATCTTGATTTTATTTTTGTGTATGGTATAAGTTGGTTGTCATGTTTCATTTTTTGCATATAACTGTCCAGCTCTCCCAACACCATCTATTGAAGAGGCTAGTTTTACTCCACTTTATTCTTCTGCCCTCTTTGTCAAATATTAACTGATCATAGAAACTTGGGTTTATTTCTGGGCTCTCTATTCTCTTCCATTGAGCTATGTGTCTGTTCTTATGCCAGTACCAGACTATTTTGATTACAGTGGCCTTGTAATATAGTTTGATATCAAGTATTGTGATCTATCCTACTTTGTTCTTCTTTCTCAAAATTACCGCGACTAATTTGTGTTGTTTATGGTTCCATAAAATTTTTGAAATGTTCTGTATCTGTGAAATATGTCATAGGTATTTTAATAGGAATTGCATTGAATCTATAAATTGCTTTGGGTAGTATGGACGTTGTGATGATATTTATTCTTCAAATCCATGAACACGGTATATACTTCTATTTGTTTGTGTCTTCCTTAATTTTTTTCTTCAGTGTTGTGTAGTTTTCTGAGTACAAGTCTTTTACCTCCTTGGTTATGTTTATTCTTAGGTACTTTATTTTTCTTGTTGCTGTAGCAAATAGGATTTTTTTCCTGATTTCTATTTCTGATACTTTGTTGTTGGTTTTCAAAAATGCCTTGTATATCTGAATATTGCCTTTGTATCCTGCTGTTTTGCACAATTCACTTACTAGGTCAAGTAGTTTTTCAGTAGAGTCTATAGGGTTTTCAATGTACACTATCATGTTATCTGCAAACAATGGCAGTTTTCCTTCCTCCTTTCCGATTTGGGTGCCTTTTATTTCTCTATCTTGTCTGATTGCTGTGGCTAGGACTTCCAATACTGTGTTGAATAGAAGTGGCTTCAACCATTTTTTAATTGGATTTTTTATCTTCCTGGTATTGAGTTCTTTATATATTTTGGAAATTAACCCCTTATCAGATGTATTGGGCCAAAAGTCCGTTTTGTTTTGTTTTTTTTTTTCTGTAAGATGGCTGTACTACCACTTAGTTGTCTTTAACGTCATTTGAAACAAGTTTGTTACATTGTATTGCGACAGGTGTCATATCAACACGCATTTAACAAAAAAACTTATCAAAATTGGTGAGTTTTTGTGTAGCCATTTCAATATTGACAATGGAAAAATAAGCAACATTTTCAACATATTATGCTTTATTATTTCAAGGAAGGTAAAAATACAACTGAAATGCAAAGAAAAAAGATTTGTGCAGTGTATGGAGACAGTGCTGTGACTGATCAAATATGTCAAAAGTGGTTTGTGGTTTCTTGCTGGAGATTTCTCACTGGATGATGATCTACAGTCATGTAGACTAATTGAAGTTGATAGTGATCAAATTGAGACATTGAGAACAATCAGTGTTATTTCCACATGGGAGATAGCTGACATATTCAAAATATCCAAATCAATTAAGTTATTGGTGAAAATGAAAAATGTCTTTTATTTTATGGAAAAAACCAAACTGGTTTTTGGCCAACCCCATATCGTTGGCAAATATGTTCTCACATACAGTGGGTTCCCTCTTTGCTATCTTATGGTTTCTTTTGCTGTGCAGTTTTTAGTTTGGTGTAGTCCCATTCATTTATTTTCCTTTGTTTCCCTTACCTAAGAGATATATTAGCAAAAATATTGCTACAAGAGATGTCTGAGATTTTTTAGTGCTTATGATTTCTTCTCAGATTTTTATAGTTTTGTGACTTACATTGAAGTCTTTTATCCAGTTTGAGTTTATTCTTGTGTATATTTTAAGTTGGTGGGCTAGTTTCATTTTTTTCGTGTACTTCTCCAATTTTCCTAGCACAGTTTAATGAAGAGACTCTTTATTCCCTTGTATGCTCTTGCTTCCTTTGTCAAATATTGATCGATCATAAGGATGTAGCTTATTTCTGGGCTCTCTATTCTGTTCCATTGATCTGAATGCCTGTTTTGATTACATGTGGCTTTGTAGTATAGTTGATATCAAGTACTGTGATTTCTCCAACTTTGTTCTTTCTCAAGATTGCTGAGGCAAATTTATTCCATATAAATATTTTAGAATATTTGTTCTAGATCTGTGAAGTATGCCATTTGTTTGTTAATAGGAACTGCATTGACTCTATATATTAGTTTGGGTAGTATGAACATTTTAATGGTGTTAATTTTTTCAAGCCATGAACAGAGTATGTACTTCCACTTCTTTGTATCTTCCTCAATTTCTTTTTTCAATGTCCTATAATATTCTGAGTACAGGTCTTTTACTGCCTTGTTTAAATTTATTCCTAGGTACCATTTTTTTATTGCAATAGTAAATGGAATTGTTTTCTTATAATTAATAAAGAAAGGCTAAGGTTTATTCTTATTTTTATAAGTATTTTCTTCATTTTTACTCATGTTTATGTGTAAGCAAACAATGCTGCTGTGAACATTATATGTCTCTTAGTGTACATATACAAGAATTTCTCCAGTATTAGATTTGCTGGTTCATACATTCAAAATTTTACTAGGTAATACAAACATTTTTAATGTAGTTGTGTGGATCTACACACCTATCAGCTTCACTGCATACCCTCCCCAGCACTTTTATTGTCTAGGTTCTTAATTTTTGTTTAGTAATTTAAAGTGGTTATGTCTCCTTAACTTACATTTTTCTGATTATTACGGAGGTTGGGCTCTGTTTTGTTTGTCATTCGTTTATCTATAATTAATTTGTGGTTATGGAGTGAAATAAGTATTCGATTTCATGTACCTCTGTAGGTGGTTACCCAGCATCATGTCCTTGGTGCATATGCTTTATCAAATTAAAGTAGTTCTCTTTTAACCCTGTTTCCAAGAAATTTGTTTGCTTTAAATGAAAGTGACCCCATGGTTCTGTCAATGTGATATATGGCATCTATAGGGTTTATTGTATTTGCTACCTTTGCATTCCTCACATAAACCAATCTAGTCATAGTGTATGATGCTTATGACCTTTGGCTTCAGTTGTTCATTATTTAATCTTTGTAAGATTTTACACATATGTTTGTGAATGAGATTGGCTTGCACTTTTCCTTCTCCTACTGTCTTTGTCAGATTTTGGAATTAAAATCCTTCTTCACCAATGCATAGTTTTTTTTGTTTGTTTATAAAACTGCTCGTACATTATTGATAATTTGGTGCCTTTCTAAAAAAATCTCACCTAATATGTGTGCAAACAAAAAGAATGACGTGTACAGATTAGAACGTCTCCTTTCCTTTGATATATAACTTCATAAGTATTTTCTTTAAAGTCTGCGTTTCATTTCTAATTGTGTGTTCATTTCATTCTGTTTTTATAGCAATGTACTGGTATAACTATGAAGTTTTAAAGAAATGGTTGTGTGAGAAGTTAGGTGTATATGAACCGACGTTTATGATCAACTTCACTTCAGGGGCATTGTCTGGTTCTGTAAGTTTATTCTTTTGTTAATACACTAGAATAATGATAATTGTCTTATTTAAACATAACAAAATATTATACATTTCATGTCTTTTCAGATAGTACTTTTGAGGTACACTGTTTTAAAAATTTTCTAAATATTTACTATCCTATTTTGAGCAAATAAATTACCACCCATTCAAATATTTTTAAATGCATTTTGTGTCTGTTTTTGTTATAGTACATATATGAGGGGGACCCCAAAAAACCTGGAGTGGTCTTCTGGAGGGAAGGCCCCTTGTAGTATAGGCTTCCCCCACTAGATGAGTGTTCTAAGAACCTGTGTCAGTTCACCAGCTGGTATTGTTTTGAAAGGCTGTGTTCAGCTTCAGTGAATTCTTTTTTAAAGACTCTTTCAACATGTTTGCCCATTTTACGATGGGTGATTTATGGGCGCACCTGCCCATACCATGCCGAGTGTTCAGCAGTTTTTGACAAAAACTGGCATGACCCCTGTGCCCCACCCTCCTTATTCACCCAATCTCGCCCTGAGAGATTTTTTCTTTTGTTCCCCTGATCCCCTGAATGAAAAAAGTCCTCAAAGGGAAACATTTTGCTGATGTGGAAGAGGTGAAACAAAAAATGGCAGAAGCACTAAAAGACATCAAAATTGACAAGTTCAAAAACTGTTTAGAGCAGTGGAAAAGATGTTCTGATAGGTCTGTTGCTTTAAATTGAGAGTACTTTGAAGCTGACTGAAGTTTAAATGTGTGAGAATAAATACACCATTTTTTATCAATAAATTCTGGGGTTTTTTTGCCCTCCCCCCATATGAATATATCTTCAAGACCCTGCTTTCAGTTCCTTTAGGTATGTACACAGAAGTGGAATGGCTTGATTACATGGTAATTCTACTTTTAATTTTTTGAGGGACAGACCTCATACTGTTTACCATAGCAGTTGTAACAATTTGTAATCCCATGAGCAATGTATCAGCAACAGCAATCCTGAGAAAGAAGAACAGGGTTGGAGGAATCACGCTACCTAATAAACTATATATAAGGCAATAGTAATGAAAACAGCATGGTACTGGCATAAGAACAGACACATAGGTCAGTGGAACAGACTAAAGAGCCCAGCAATAAACCCACACCTTTATAGTCAGTTAATATTCAACAGAGGAAGCAAGCACATACAACAAGCTAGTTTATTCAATAAATGGTGTTCAGAAAATTGGATAGGTGCAGAAAAATAAAAGTAGACCACCTTCTTAAACCACACACAAGAATAAATTATTAAGTAATGTGCTAATTAAAAGAATGTAATTTTAGGAAAATTTAAAGGCAGGTTTAAATTAATCAGTTTTTCTTTTTAATAGTTTGCAGCTGTTGTGACTTTGCCATTTGATGTGGTAAAAACACAAAAGCAGACACAACTTTGGATGTATGAATGTTATAAAAGTAAGTTTAATTTAAAACTTTTTTAAGATGCCATGAAAATTTTTGTTTTTCTTTCCAGATACTAATTTAGGAATATCTGAAATAGGGATAAGATTATTTTTCCCTCTGCTTTACTCTTTAACTGAAACTAATGTACTCTTAGAATGGAATACCCAGGAATACTCTAGACAAAAAAAATTTAAGAAATCTTAAAGTCTATTTATTTTGCCTGCCATCAGTTGAATCTTATACCTGCTCTAAATAGAAGATTAAATTATGTAAGTATTTTTTTCAAATAGAGCTGGACAAATCAGGGCGAAGGATAGTAAATTACTAGGAAACCTTTTTCTCTCACTGTGCTTTGTTCCATTAGTATGCACATACATTTTATTTGATTTTTTCTATTTATTTTTAGCTTCCCTTTTTTGATATGTTTTCCTATTATTCCATTTATTTTTACTTTATAACCTACAGTTTCTTCTAGAACAAAAGTGTACTCTTACTTGTGTCTACTAGATCCATTTTGTTAATGTTTATTATCCATAGAAAGTGTAGCAAACCAACTGGAAATTATCCATTACAAAATTGCATGACATATGCCATGTGTAAGCATATTATAATATAAATAAATTGTTCTAATCCCCCAGGATATTTCCATACAAAATAAAATGGGTGTTCTAATGTTGAAAGAAGCATTGATTATAGACCTCTGAAAATGAGTCTGGTGAATACTAGTGACAACTTTCTTCCTGACTTACGAAAGTCTAGTCCCCTCTAATAGAAGCAAACTAAAACCTTAGAGGTTTATTATCAGGGTTCTCCCACTTCCCTGGTTTAGGTGTGAGCTTTCTAGCTGCCTAAGCCCTATCATCTTTTCTCCCTTTATAGTTCAAAATTATTTTGTTTCATCTTCCTTTCAGCTCATCAGAATTCCTGTTTTTCCCATTAAGTAAATTACTTAATGTAGTAGGAATATTGTCTTTGGTGTAGTTTGTCATAAATGTTTGATGACTTGGCAGTGAGGTGGTGGTGCTGGTAGTCGTAGTGATGAGGGAGAAAGTGGGAATTTCTGTAGGTAGATTCTTCTGCACACTAAAGTTAGAGATCCACTTAACTAGGTAAATAATCATTGGACTCACCTGGGGTGCTTTTTCCACTACACCAAAAGCTGAGCACCACCCGCAGTGGACTCTTAATAGATGTGAGGTGGGGCTCCAGCTTGTATATTTTGAAAATGTTGGTTAGGTGACCACGCATCCTCATTGAGACTGGCAGCAGAGAGGCATCATCTTTCACTTGATTTACCTCTTACCTATCACTTTTTTTTCTAATTAATGTTTCTCTATTTAAACCCAAAAGGATAAACCTTAAGTAGTAAGCCTTGGGTCTTAATTTTCCATGATTATTGTTGGTCACTTTTGCTTGTTACTCAGCTATGAACCATTTATATTTAGCAAGATACGTTTCTATTGTAAATTGCACTTCTGATTTGAGTGATAAAAGCCCAGTTTTTTTTATTTCTATTTGTTATTTATGCCCATGAAAAAAGTAAATCAGCTCCATTGGAAGTGGATTCCTCCATTCCATAGCTCAGCTATACCAAATTCTTTACCTCTGAGCAAAAAAAGAAAATATGGTCAGTTCCATTGAAGAATATGATCTCTGTATCAATGCACTGAGAACATATCTCCATCCTTCATCCATTAAAGGTCAACTACTGATTGAGTGCCTGTCTGGTGTTGGGCACCATGCTGATGTACTCAGACAAATGAGGAGGTAGCCAAATCCTCAGACTGCTCATAATCTAGTGGAGAAGCACATTAGGATTTAATAGCTGCTATATTGTGTAACAGAGCTAACCTTTACCTCACTTATGAACACATTGTTTATATTTAATTCCTTCTTTTAAAGATTATTTTTAGAGAGAAGAGAAAGGAAGGAGAAGGAGGGAAAGAAACATCAATATGCAATAGATATATCAGTTGGTTGTCTCCAGCACACCCCCTACTGGGGACCTGGCCCACAACCCAGGCATGTGCCCTGACTGGGAATCAGACCAGCAGCCTTTTGGTTCATAGGCCGGCACTCAATCTACTGAGCCATACCAGCCGGGGCATGATATTTAATTTCTTAACGTTAAACCTCTGGTTTCAACTTTTTAAACCTGGCTGAGATCTGTTTTCCACAGGTTAAACTTCTTTTTCTTTAAACATATTCAACATCTTAAAATACTTAAACAGAAATTTAAAAATCATTTAAAAATGTTTATACTTGGCTAATAAACTTCTAAAAAATGCTCTATCTTAATATATTTTTTTAAAGATTTTATTTATTTATTTTTAGAGAGGGAAGGGAGGGAGAAAGACAGAGAGAGGGAAACATCAATGTGCAGTTGCTGGGGGTCATGGCCTGCAACCCAGGCATGTACCCTGACTGGGAATCGAACCTGTGACATTTTGGTTTGCAGCCCACACTCAATCCACTGAGCTACGCTAGCCAGGGCTTCTATCTTAATATTAATGAGGAAAATGCCAACTAGAATAGTAGTAAGAGAACATCTTATATGCATTGGATTGTTGGGGAGGATGTGGAGCAATGGTGATTTTCATCCTTTGCTGGTGAGACTATAAATTTGGAATAACTGCTTTGGAAAATAATATGGCAATATCAAGAAATGCATTTTGAATAAGCAGGTCCACTCCCAGATATGGGCCCTAGAGAAACTTTTGCACATGTACAAGGATATTCACTGAAGGATTCCTAATCCCCAAAAGTTAGAAACCATCTACATATGCCTGGCAGGGAAATGGCCAAATTGTGATAATCCACATAATGTAGTACATTCAGCAATTAAAATGAATAAAATATGGCTACACTTGCCAATAATATGACCCTAGAGCACAAGAGTAATGAGCCCCACTCCATTAAACAGCAAAATTCTAAAAGCCATTTTTGAAATATGTCTTTCTCTAATCTTTCCCTTTTTTCTTAGGCATGCTTAATAATGTGTGATTTAATCTTTTTTAATGACCCAGAGTTCACAATGTACATGAGTTTTGTAATGCAGTTCCCAGAAGCTAGTGAGGTAAATATCAGAATGTTTTTGCCCATCAGCCCATTCATCTCAAATAAAGACTGAAATCTTCAGCCTGTCAGCTGTCTCAGTGTTCACATGGTAGTATGCCTGCTACTTAGCAGACTTTTTTAGTTATTGCATCTAGTAGTCTGTGGGCTGAACCAGCTCCTTAGCTCATTGCATAAAATGAAGGTAAGTGAACTTTGTATATTTACTGCTCATCCTTAAGCTTTATGTCTGAACGTCCATTAAATCTAGTTTTGCTGGCTTTTTAAAATATAAGTTAATGTTTTATAGGTCCCAGTTATTTGAGTGGTTGCAAATAAGTGAGATGTTACTGTTAGAGGGTAAATCTGCCCTGTGGAGGAGTCAGGACTAATCTAATTTTTTTCAAGACTGGCACATCTATTCAGAAAAGTTTTATTTTGTTTTTTAAGATTTTATTTATTTATTTTTAGGGAGGGGTAGGGAAGGAAAAAGAGAGGGAGAGAAACATCAATGTGCTTGCCTCTTGTGTGCCCCCTACTAGGGACCTGGCCCTGCAACCCAGGCATGTTCCCTGACTGGGAATCAAACCAGTGACACTTTGGTTCACATGTTGGCACTCAATCCACTGAGCCATACCAGCCAAGGCTATTCAGAAAAGTTTTAATAAAGCAGAACCTTACTAGGAAGAATGAGCTATTTTCTTCAGAACCTCTTTGTAGGAAAAAAAATTTTTTTAATGTGTGCAATAAAAATTTAATGAAAAATGGTTATCAGGACTTCTCTTTGGCTTAGGGAACTCCATGATATTTCTATACATCTTTAATTTTTTTTCATTATGAAAGTTTTTAAGATGTAGAAAAAGTATAAGGAATATCCACTATCAAGCTTAAGAAACAAATATTGATAATAGTTCAGGAGGCGCCTTCTTTATATTCCTCTTTGATTACATCTCATCCTACACACCTTTAAACTTATAGCCTTTTCAAATTTTTTCTTTTAATGAATCCCAAAGGTCACGTAGAAATTAAGTGGTAATTTATAATAATTTTTTTTTAACATTTAGTTCCTGAGCCCACGTCAACCTGGGCTATAATGAAGAACATTGTTGCTAAGAATGGGTTTTCTGGATTATTTACAGGTAAAAATATTTGCTTTACCAAATCATTGAATAAAATTACTTTTCCTTTTAAATTTATCCTCCCTAAATTAACTTTTCATCCAGAAATTCTTGAAAACATTTCACATTTATGATTTCTCCTAGACATCTTTTCTCTAAGTTTAAAAATGTTTTAAGTTAAAATTTCTATATAAAGTAACATGGACTTAAAGTGAGGGGGTCAGCACTAAGTTTGTCTTGTTCTTTGATACCAGTTTATGGCATAATATTTGATATATCACTTCATTTAATTTGATATCAGAATGCAACCAGATAATTTAAGTTTTTAAAAATAAGGTAAAATTTGTTCTGATATTTTTTCTATTCTCTTTGCAGGCCTAATTCCCCGTTTAGTTAAAATTGCTCCTGCTTGTGCCATTATGATCAGTACATATGAACTTGGAAAGGATTTTTTCCAGAAACAAAATGCTCAAAGACAGCAATACTAGTGATACTGTTTCAGTTGGATATAACCACGGCCAAATAATAAGATGGAGACTGCTAGGCTAGAGCCTTTATGTTATCTTACAAAGATTTTGTATCTTTCCTGCCAATAATTGAAATGAATTCCTACCTTGATTCTAAATCATAATTCTTATTTTTAAATTAGTTTTGTTATCCTAATTTTTGAAATATTGGAAGAGATTTTCCAGAAATCACAACCATAGAGCTTTTTATAAAGAAAAACTATTGTTCATACTGGAAGCAATAATCTGAGTTAGATATTAAAGAAATAACATTACCATTATTTCTGCAAGAGAGAGTGGTTTTGCTGATTGTATTAAATGTTCACCAAAGTCAAACATGGGTGTATAGTGGAAAACATTGTATTTAGACTAGTAACAATAATGCTTTGGCACAGCCATGCTGTAATTCATGTATCAGTGTTCATGGAGCTCTCTAGATCACTCCTCTATTTGCTTGTTGTGTTAAATTTGATATTGTTAATACACTATCAGTCACAGAATATTTCCAAAATTATCTTTGATGATATACCCCTAACATTAGTATGCTAGAACAAGAGACTAAACGGAGAGCAGTTTTCTTGAAGAAATAGCTTTTGGTAACTACAGGCTAACGCCTAAGTAATTTAGCTTATGAATGTAAGAAATGATATTCTTTTTTATATTTGTTTAAATGTCTTAGGATATACATACTCTTAAGAAAAAGCACTTTATTGAAGTCTATGTGTATTTTATGAAAATGTGAAGCATTTTTGCCCCTAAAATAGGTAATATATTTAGGTGATAAATCTCTAGTGTTCATGGAGGAATTAATATATTTGTATTATAGTAGAAAAGAGCTTGAATGTTCTGAGAAATAAACTGTATAGAATTTGTATGTAACCTTTTGTGTTTTTATCCTGTTGCTTTACATTAAATTTGCAACATGTCCATAAAAACATGAAATATTTATGATTTTAAGTTAATTGTCATTAAAATATTTTAAGTTAAAATGATCATTAAATATTTTCATATAATGTGTGTGTGAACGTTTATCTTGAACACTGCCATTTAACAGTACTAAACTTACCCTGGTTTTGCTGCTTCTCTTTGATAACTTATTGGTAGAAAAAGGCAGAAATATTGAAATTTAGGGCTGTGCTTCAAAAAGCAGTCACATGTCTGCTTATAAATACCAGAAGGGAGATGCCCAGCTATACCCCCAGTACTAATGGCACTTGTGGAAAATTGTTACTATTTATGACTAAAATAACCTGAATCTAATTCCCTAGATTTTCTAACACATGTTTCCACACACTGTATCTGGATGAAAAGAAGGATGAAAGAAAGCTTCAGCTTTTTCTCTACATCAGTAAATAGGCATATTAATACTTTTTTTAAAAAAGTAGCAACCCCCCAGAGTTTGGCTACAAATTGTGTTCTTGCTAATGTTTCTGAAAGGAAAGAGTTTCATTTTATTAATGATAAACTTTCTATCATACATATTTACTTTGTGTAAATTTTAAGGAGAAGTGTCTTATAACAGTATTGTTTGCTACTTTTCATATAATAACATATTTGACTTTTTAAACAAGTAGACATAAAAATAAATTTTCCATGTATTTCTAGGAAAATTATTCACTATGCGTTACCATATACGCCTCCTTTAAATTCTTCCCTCCCTTGTTCTAGGGCACAAATTCCAGAGATGTCAGAAAATTTCACCTATCACTTCTGAGCTTTTTCCCAAAATGTAATCTGTCATTCAACACGATTGAGCCCTTTCACGTGGTGGCAGTAGGAAAAACACTGGAGGTAAGATGGTTCAGAAACTGTCACTGGCCGCAAGTAGGTTTCAGAACTATGATCCATGGAGGTGTGCCAGGGGAGTAAGGAGAAAGCTGAAGGGCTCTTCACTCAAGCTGGGCACAGAGGGGAAGTGGGCAGGAAATGCCTCTACGATTGGGACAGGTGATGCAAATGAAACATACCTGGAGGCAGACAGCGGGATGTGGTCCCAGCCCTTGGAGCAAAGGCTGTATATGCCACACGGCAATGTGGCAGGAGATCAGATTAGGAATGTAGTCAGAGGCCTTGTGTGCCAAACACAACAAGAAAGAAACAGGAAACAAAGGAGGTATTTTCGGTACAACTCTGACAATTATAGAGTTAGTGTTTTGGTCTTCTTCAACACTAGCATTTATCTTTAACAAAAGGATACAGGAGAGCATTAGCACAACACAGAAGACACCAGGCCTTACTACACTATCATATACACATGATAGGCCAGGTGTTGTGTAGTGAAAATTATGATTTTAGCTGTGTTTTAGCAAAATAATGGACAGTATGGAAAATGTGATTTAAATAAGGTGACCTATTTAAAAATATTCTAAAAGTTTGGTTTGGATTAAAGTAAACTTTGAAAAGGTACTTTAATGACACTGATAAAAAGTTATCTCCCCCTTCCTATCAGTTAAAAAGAACAAAGGCTGAACCTGCACAGAAGCTGCTTTGCTTAAAGGAAGAGCCCAGTGAACTAACTAAAAAAATATAAGAGATCTGATTTTCAAAGCAGTCATGTGACATTTCAGAGGTGATCCAGTGTATCAGTTTATCAAAGTCAGAGATTTAACCTTATGAAAGAACGTGATCAGAGTTTCCATAAGTTGTAAATGTGAGACATTTTTAACCGCCTGAAAACTTGTATGTAAATCAAAAATGACTTAGGCTGACTTAAGGTCTCTGTCAATCATAATTAGTAGCTTGTGTCTGGCACTTACCTCTTACAAACTGATACGTGTGAGTTCACTTAATGCTGACATCATCCTGATGCCATCGCTCAGGTGCTGAGAAGATGGGGATGTTTCCATCTGACAGGTGAGAAAACAGGCGGTGGCCACTGTATACTCCAACCAGTGATGCTGCCAGAGCCGCTGCTGCAGAGGGCCACCTAAATAGCTGCTGTGTATTCTAAAGCGTGTCATGTTTTTTAAAAAATAAAATGTATTTTACTTTATATGAATTGAAATAAGGATTTCTCCAAGACCATTTTCATATTAGTATTTTAGGCACTGAGTAATATGCATTTATCATATTTCTTAGTTCAGTGTGCAACCTGAATCAAGTAACTTTTCATTAAGGATAAAATAAGACCACTAATGCATAGTACAAAATGTTTAATATACATGCAGCAAGTATAATACATCAAGGCAACAAAATACACATAGAAATATCAGCATATAATTCAGCATTCTATTTTGGGGAGGGTTTATAAATAAACACTATCACCTAAAACTGAAGATTGAGACGTAAGTTGTTTCCTCATGCACACACTAACCATCTCTAACTAGTATGAAATGAACTCTGTAGAAACCTGAATTCACATTAGCAGATGGATTGTATACCAAGAGCTCCAAGACAGGAGGGAAAGTCATGATCTCCAGGTGTCATGTTTAAATCTGCGTTTAGCAGCATGTTAAGATGCACAGGTTATAGTATACATTAGACAAATCTGAAAAAATGTTATCAATTATGGAATCCTGAATTAACTTTCTGTATTATAAAAAAGTATGGAAAAAATTTAATGATTTTTTTTTAATTATGGAAGGAAAGTGTCAAGTTGAGAGTGGACCATGGATGATAAAGCATTTAAACTTTCTGAGAGTTCTTAGGAAAGCAGCAAAAGTGCTTAAGGCCAGCCTAAAAGTTTTGAAGTTCCCCTCCTTAACCATTTCTCACTCCCTCCTAAAATTTCCATTGTCCTTGTTTTATACCTTCCACTCCCCATGCAGCGTAAAAATTGCTTTGGATACCTCACTGACAATAACATATACAGAATTAAGAGATTAAAGATACCATTTCTCAAGAATATTTGCATTTCTACAAGTACAATACGAAAGTCTTAAGCTAAAATGATAAAGCCTCTGAGTAATCCTGGAACAACTAAGATAACTTTTTAAAAGGGTTTTCAGGCCTCCTTTGTCCCTGAAATGACATTGTTTGAACTGTTTTACATACAAGACTAGCCTTGTTATTATTTATTATATTAAATTCCAAATTATGGTAGTAAAGCTCCGAAGATTGTAGAGAACCACCACACTCCTACATTTCTAACACAAAGAGTGGATGTGATAAGTTCGCACTTCCTGCCTCCTCTCAATAAAAATAAATTGCTTTAGGAGGAACATTATTCCTATATGTCAAAGCTACTAAATTTGAATGTAATGTTTTATTAATAAACAAAAATATAGCACATATTAAGTCCCAATAAGTATTGTAGCCACTACATGTAAACAATGTATAAAACTTCTTTGGCACAACTGATCATGTCTTCCTCACATTACTTACTGTAGAAAATAATACACTTTCTCTTGCAATAGGGTGAAATTTTTCGGGACAAAATGTATAGTTCCAAAAATTGCAAAAATGTTTAAAATACAGCTCATAGCTTTTTTAAAAAAGGAAACTGTTTTACCTGTAGAAGTGCAGGGATTTTTAACATCAACTTTAAAACGAAACCGTGGCCTGACTGCTGACGGGAGCTGTGAACAACACCAGACACCCGCTCAAGGCCGCAAAGCAGGGGCAGGAGGAGCAGGGGCAGGAGGAGCGCGGGCGCGGGACACAGTGTGGTCCCGGTGACCGCCCTGCCAATCCTAATGCAAGAGCTGCTCACACTTCACTGAACCTGAAATTTTTGCTGATCAAATACTTTTTCAACATCTGTTACACTTTAACGTTTAATTTTTGAGGCATATTTGATCATTTTTAATTGACAACCTGTTACAAAAATTTAGGGGAGACAAATAAGAAATGTTACCTAAATGGCCTAAAATATTGTAAAATACTTTCCCTATGACACTACCAAATTTAGTAACTGCCTACTGCACATTCCTACAAACTTTATAAAATGTTCAGTGGAATGTTAACATTGACACAAAATGATAATAACTGTTAAAGAAAAACTGAATAAGCCACTGTCAAGCTGCAGCTGAGAACTTTCTCCTTATTTTAAAAACAAGGCTTTTAAACATTAGAATCTTGGAAGAAATTAATGAAAAATAAAATTACTAAGTCATTTTTAGAAATTTTTAAATCACTGAATAAAAGAGGAAAGAAAGTATGTAGCTTAAGTCTCTGGAATAAAACCTTGGACTCAATCTCTGGCAATTATGATACATTAAATTATATGAAAATCAACTGAATAATAAATATGTACAATTTAAAGTATTAATTTAGAGGGTCTTTGAACGTTGTTTTTAGGTCTGTTCACTTGAAACTTCCTCAGTGACAAATGTAAGAACTTTAAAATAAGAAATGGCCGGACCATCTTTTTTCACTCAGTTAACATGGAGTGGGTTGAACTCTCTATGCCACAGAATCCCAGATTTGTGCCAGAACAATGTAAAATCCCAAAGGTTTTCCCAGCAGTCACACTTGAGTAAATAGAACACTGACAACATAAAATCTTTTGGCTTTTACATAAAATTCCTCAGGATGGAGTTAGGCCTGGACTTGTCATCTCTGTTGTAGGACTTGCAAGATAGTCATTAGATTTTAGGCTAGTTAGAGATTTGTAACTTGCCACTGATGTTAGGGACCCACAGAGACCGAGTAATGAGGGAGTATCTTCTTTACCTGTAAATTAGGATAAAATAAATATTTAATTGTCTTTGAAGGATGATACCAATAAGGACTTAAAACCATTAAAAACATCATACTTTACAAAATACTGTATATTCTTGAATAGTATGGCAACAGACACTAATACATATATGAATATACATAAACATAAAAAATAACACGTCTGCTAAAATCGGAGTTACTAATATTTTAAAAGCAATTTATTTGACATGAGGGAAAGAACTTGTAAGGTTAACAAAATTTCTAGCTTAGGTAATAGA